GGCCAAAAATAAAGACAAAGTTTAAAAATCTGGACGACCTGCTCGGTCCCAAAACAAAAGAGAAAAGGCAAGTCAAAACTACCCAAATTGGTTCTGTCCTTTTTTCTTAATCTGCCAAGCTTATCAAAATCATAAAAAGGACAGCGCTACAGGTGACTCGGAACAACAGAATTCTCGATATTAGGTTAGGAAAACTAGTGGGAAGAATCATAGATGTCGCTAGGTGTACGAAATAGTACTTTTGAATTAGTCCAAAATCTATAAAAATAATTGAGAACAATAAACATATTTTTGTGACATTTCAAATGTTACAATGTGTATTGGAAAATTATAAGTAACGTAAAAACGTAGTAAATTTCGAAAATCTTTGCCTTTTCTTGGAAATTGAAAATATTATGCATTAAAATTGTTTTAAAGCCCACCAACTAAAACTCCTTTCTTTTGACTTTTTCTCTTGAAGTTCCTACCAAAGATTCAAATGCGCATTTCACAACAAAAAAACAAATTACATCGAAGCTTTTAGTCATACAAATCCTTTCCTATAGGGCCTATTTTTGATTCAAAATTGTATTGAAAACAACACTTAGGTAAATGATCGCAATTTGTGTGCTTTCTCTTGGCTTTTTCACTTGAAATTTGGAAAAAAAATCCAAAATAAGTTTGAAATTGCAATATTTTACTTTTCCTCAATCAAAGATGAAGAAATTAAAGCTGAACTAAACAGAGTGAAGAATATTCTGCTGCAGATAGATGTAAAGGTATCCGACAGTGACATGAGCCAACATAGACTAGGAAAATACAACACCCAAAAGGTGAGACCTATTAAAATAGCTTTCCCAAAGATCATGCGAAAGAGCATTGAGACAAAAATACAAACTAGACAACAACTACTGGAGTCTACATAGAGAGTGACCAAACGTCAAGCTGAACTTAAAAGAAGAAATAATCAAGGTGAAAATGACATAGAGATTAAATATCTACATTAACTCCATGCCCAAAATTGTCAAAGTTAAAGAACAACCAAAAAACTAGAAACATCCCTAATTGAAGCTTCTCTTTGGTATAACAATCTGTGATCTATGACAAATTTACTGAAAACAAAAAACGCATATAACACAACACAGAATAATTAGTACCAGTTATTGAAAAGTCACTAAAAAAAACCGGTGTACATACCGCGTTTGGCTAAATTCAACTGGTGTAGGTACCGTGATGGAATGGTAGAAGAAACAGTGATGTTTAATTTTTAAACAATTAAACAGGGTTTGACAAGCTGTGGTTTGGAATTGGCATTAGTGAATCGTAATCACTGCATCCGTGGCGGTGCACAGTTTTGGTGAAATAAACCACACACGGATAATAGGAGACTTCAACCCCCTCGAAATAAACTGGAAACTATTGGAAGTACATTCGCACAACCAGTGTAGTCAAGACTTTCTGAACAGCTGCAAAAACCATAGGGGTCACGAACATATAATTTTTTCTACTTGATACAGGAACAACCAAACATTTCTTCTGGACCTGCTTATTTTAAATGAGAAGAAACCAATTTTTGATATTCAAAAACATGCACCCCTTGGAAAAAGTGACTACATTGTAATCACTACTAAAACACAGCTTCAAATAATTGCACAGCCTACACGTAAAATTTATGAAATAAACTTTTGGAAGGTAGATTATACACTGAGTGAACCAAACCCTTCAGCAAAAACATCATCAACCCACATTCATTTGAAAAATTCTGTAGTTCCATTTGAATCTGATCAGGAGGTTACAGAGTGTTTTGCACAGCAATTCCAGAGTGTTTTTACTAAACTGAGCCCTACAGATATTAGTTGAATCCTACTGCAGAACAGGGATCAACACCATAAATTTGATCCCAGAAAAGGTAGAGATCGCCACTCCAGCCCTGGACTTGAAGAGATCCCTTTTATATTTCTTAAAAAATTGTTTGCACGCTCTAAAGTCATTGCTAGTAGAAAACTACAGACCAGTAAGTCTAACCAGCGCCTTATGTACTTGTATGGAAAAAATCATTGCCAACGAATTCATCCACAAGCTCATATTGTACCACCCCAACGTGGTTTTCACCTCAAAAAATCTACTTTTGCGAACCTCCCAACCAGACTCAATATGTGGACAAAAACGGATAATGACAATTATCCAATTCATGTAGTTTGCCTTGACTTTGAAAAAGGATTTGATAAGATAACGGGTCTTCAAAAAAAACCTATCAAAGATTGCTATGGCGGTTTAAACATATGTCTTAGCAATATTTTTCTTCAATTTTGTCAATGATCTTTAATGTCAAAATATCATATCAAAAATCCTGACCAATAAAGGAACAATAATGCGACATACGTTTTAAAAACCATAGCAATCTTTGATTGTTTTTTTTTTAAAGACCTGATACTACCAACAATATTTTACAAGTTTTGGAGTCAGGGGCGATTTACTGCGACTTCTTGAGGAATTCCTTACTGGACATACTTTTCAGGTTAGGGCAGGAATATTATCACTCTCGGTCGAATACTCTATACTGAGCGAGTAAAGGTGCAACACCAGTTCTAGCACAAAATCAGTCATTTTCCCAAAATAATTTGTAAATCGCCATAAGAAAATCTAAGATCCATTCTGACTATTTTGGAGTGGGGGTAAAATTTCCAGGAATAAGCCCCACTCCAAAATGGTACGAAAATTGCCAGAACGGAACTTAGATTTTCTTATGGAGATTTACATGGGAAAATGACTGATTTTGTGCTAGAACCGGTGTTGCACCTTTACTCATTAGATCAGATAATGGGCCTTGTTTTTCAAGCCACATATTCAAACAATTTGCTCAGACATATGGATTCAGTCACATTACAAGCAGTCCTAGGAATCCGCTGTAAAAATAACCAAAAATATAATTCTAATATGCAAAGATCCAAACTTAGGACTGTTAAGTTATAGAACAGCAAAACTAGAGAGTGGATTTTCACCAGCAGAACTGATCATGGGAAGAAAGCGTAGGAATTCAATTCCGGCTAGCAAAGACAAATTTATCCCTAAGTGAGACTACATAAACGACTTCAAGGAAGTCAGAAGCAACGAAAAAGAAGTTCAAACATTGAATTTCAATAAGCGACGTAGAGTAAGATCAAATTCTACCTTGAAAAATAACGATAAAGTTTGGATACCCGATATGGAAATGTTTGGGAAAGTAGTGGATGTTGGACCTGAACCTAGAACATACATTACCGCCGCAGAAAATAACGTCAACAGGCGAAACAGAAGCCAAGTTATAGAAGTAACATCAGAAGCGATGATAAGACTAGAGCAAGGGACAGATACTCGACTAGACATATCCAATTGGGAACTCCCCGAAAGTTGCAATGATGAGTCAAGCTCAGAATCAGTGGGTGGCGATGAAGGGGATCATACGAACACAGAATACGGTTCAGCCGCATCACAAAGCAGTGGACCAGAAATTGAAAGCAATAAACAAACGACGTCAACCACTCCATAATATCTGAGCCAGGCTCCGAGGAGAAGACCGAAGTCTATAACTCCACTCACCAGAGATACATCAATAGATCAGGAAGACCCAAGCCGGCACGTCGTTGCACTTGCAATGGAATGTGGTGAAGATTAGTTAAAACAAAAGTGAAAATGAATATTGTACAGTATATATAGTGAAATAGTGGTTTTATCCATAACATTAATAGTGCCAGTGTAAATAGGACAAACAATGGTTTAAGGCTAGTCGCGTTTAATTCGACTCGAGTGCTAAGTTAAAAAGATACTCACTTAATGAAAAGAGAGAATGTGGCATCGAGTACTTGAGCCGGCAACGCCGCTCGAGAGTCAGGATAGCAGTCCTCGGCGCAGGGCTCAGCAGTTGATATCCTGGTAAGCGTACCGCAGGCTGCTACAGACATAACCAGAAACCTGAGAAGGAAAGATGTAACAAGTTACTGAGAAGAAATTTTTTGGCAAACAGAGTAGTTAAGCTGTGGACTTAGTCATGAAACAATTAGTGTAACATCAGTAAATCAATTTAAAACCGTTTGGATAGGTTTGTGCATTATGGTGTTTAATTTGTGAATGAACTGTGAAAAACTAAAAGTCTCGGTGGTCTCATCGGTCACTCATCCGCCTACCACTGATATTCATAATAATGATAAAAATAATAATAATAATCAAAATCTATCTAAAGTATGCTCAAAATGCCCGCTTGAAAAGGTTCATTATTAATTCATATTCAAAAGGGTACCTATTTCAAAAATGTATTTGTTAAATAACCTATTCAATTATTTTCGTACTACTCTCATTATGAATATAAATTATACGATCGGATTTAATTATTACCAGTTTTTATATTACCCATCATTATATATTATATATATATGTATATTATCACATAAAAAAAAAACCGTGCATATCCATATAAACCAATAAATGATTAACAAAACATATTTCAATTTCGCATATGCAAATCGCGTGTTTATTTATTTATTTATTTACAGAGGAGGGAATTAATTTTAGGCTCTGGCAATCGATAAAAGATATGAAAATTAATTACCGGATGAAAATTAGCATCATAAATTTGGTTTAATGTTTTGGATCCCTTGGGGATCCGGTCTTGATATTCATAAATGAAAAGGATCAGATTTTATTTTACAAGTTCCTTTTCGATTTTGGAATATTTTCTAATTAATTTACTATTTACATAAATAATCTTTGTTTTTCTTTGTGTAGAATGACAACTATATTATACACTCAACGCAAAACTGTCAAGCCCTAAAGAATTCAATTTGTACAATGCATACACTATTATAATAATATTTACATACGCCTATTATGAATAACTGATTGATTTATTATTGTCAATATGAAATTATAAATCCATGCATATCAAATTTCATGCGGAAAATTAATTTCAATAAATCCACTATCAATAATGTTTGATGGAACAGCTTAATTACAATTTAGATTACCAATGTTTTTCCTCTTTTCAGGTCGTGTAGCAGCCGGAGAAGGCAGATTCAATTCCAACAGCGAAGTCAACATTAACACTGAAGTGAAAAGCATTCCTGTTACCAAAAAAGGAGTTTATTTTGCCTTTAGAGACCAAGGAGCTTGTATATCTTTGCTAGCAATCAAGGTAAATCAATATCAGTCCCAGCTTGTCACCAAACAACCAATATATATTTTTTTAAAATTAGGTCTACTACATCACATGTCCAGAAGTCACTATCAATTTTGCCCGTTTCCCTGCCACACCAACTGGTAAAGAAATCGCCATTATTGAGCAAGCGCAAGGGTCTTGCGTAAGCCACGCTGAAGTCGTAGGCTCTTCACCCATTTATCTATGCAAGGGCGATGGCAAATGGTCCCTGCCCAGTGGAGGCTGTAAATGTAAAGCTGGATTCCAGCCCGATATGGAGAAACAAACTTGTAATGGTACGGAATTTCTAAATTGTTTTTATACATTTTGTGAATGCTTTTGTGTAATTGTAGTGTGTCAACCTGGTACCTATAAATCGGAAGTTGGTGATGGACATTGTTTCCCCTGCCCCAAATACTCCCAAGGACCCGAATTTGGCCTATCTGAATGTAAATGCATCGAAGGATATTTCAGGGCACCCAATGATCCTAAAAATATGTCTTGTACACAACCTCCATCCGCCCCATTGAACCTTACAGTTAATTTTGTTGACCAATCGAATGTGATACTCAGTTGGTTACCTCCAGAGAATCAAGGCGGTAGAAGTGATACTTCTTACAGAGTACGGTGTGACGCTTGCAGCTTAGGATTAGTCCAGTATAACCCACCAACAGAAACTTTCAACGAAACCAGGATACATATAAGCGGCCTAAATGCTGTAACGACTTATCGATTTCAAATATTTGCTGAAAATGGGGTGACTAATTTGAATAAGAGGACTAGTCCGGAATATGCTGATGTTACAATTACTACAGAAGCTTCAGTGGCTAGCAGTATTACCAATATTAGGGTGACATCTGTGAAAAGTACTGAAATTACTTTGGCGTGGGATGCACCTATCACTGATGGAGATTTGGAGAGCGATCAAGTGGAAACTTACGAAGTTAGGTAAGAACTTTCACATTTGAATATTTGATAAACATTATTTTAAAATTGTATCTGCTTCTTTTCAGGTGGTTCCCCCGCAATGAAGAATACAGCAACTCTACTAGTTTCCTGACAACCACTTTGATAGCCACAATTACAGGATTACAACAAAGGACCGAATATGGGTTGCAAGTTAGAGCCAAAACGCCAAGAGGATGGGGAGCTTGGTCTCAAGTTATTTTCAAGACCACTGGACAAGTTTTGAACACAGGTAACTTTTCGATTAAAAACTTAAGTTATAAATTCTGTATTGTAAAACTTTCAGCTTATGTTGGAGCAGAAGAAGGTTTCAGACTTCAGCTAGTGGCAGGAGGAATCGTTGTAATCGTGGTAGTTCTAGTAGCTGTCATTGTCTTAACAGTGGTATTCGTGCGCTCCAGATCAAACGACGAATGCAATAAAAAACAGCCCAGCGATTGTGATACTCTGGAGTATCGCAATGGAGAAGGTAATTTCAATATTATTAACAAAAGATTTCAAATAGTTTTTTGCAACATGGTGTATGGGCATCTAGAATCTAGCTAGAGGTTATGGTTTTTCCCATAGATGCATTAATCACAAATTTAAATACATCTATTAGCAATTTGCAATAAGTTTGGTTTAAGTACCTAGGTACTTGGCCAAGTTTATCGCAATATTTAGTGCCTAGCAGCAATTTATACACTTTCTATCTTGATAGTAATTTAGTGTGAAATATTTCTTGCACAGTTTAGTCAAAATAAATGAATCAAAAAACAATTTAAATAAAAATATACTTTTTAAGACTTTAGCTAGTAGTAATATCTAACACAAATCCTTTAAACTTGCACTTTCACGCCATTCCCCCTCATCCAGGATTGGTAGTTACTTACAGTAAGTAGTTCATAGTTAATAAGTTGTATGGTATGGTATCCCCACTAATCCCTAGTCCAAATAACAAATGGACTCTTATAGTTCCACAAATAGTTGCATCCTATCTTTTATATAACTATGTGGTCTGTAAGAGTAAGTGTGGATAAGAAATTCTTAATTGCCCATTCAAAGAATTTTATTCCACACCTTTACATTACTGATTACCTATGGTGTGGGTTCATTAAGGTTTTGCAGTTTTTAACCCAAATTTTTATGTTTCGAATCCCTTTTTTTTTTAATTTGTGATTGTTTTTGTTCACGGCGTTTTTTTAGTTCACCACACCAGCTTGGACAATCCCCCAATAGTTACGACCCATACCAACGGTAATTTATGTTTCCTTTTTATGTTTTTTTTTTATCCTAATTGTTATTTTTAATTAACTTCATGTGATTGTGTAAACAAAATTAGTTATTTGTTTATTGGCAGATGAATTAGTTTAATATTGACAATCACCTCATTTAATGATTATAAAGTTTATAGTAATGAGTTTCACTAACTTCTTTTCACATTTTTTAGTGACCACCCCCCTCTTTACGGGTATAAGTGGTTCTTCTCGAACTTACATAGACCCTCACACTTATGAAGATCCCAATCAAGCTGTCAGGGAGTTTGCACGAGAAATTGATGCTAAATGTATCACTATTGAAGCTATTATAGGTAAATATATATTTTTTTGAATATTGAAAGAAATCTTTAACATAATGCAGCTACTTTTAACAATAGTCACGATGAACTGATGATAGTTTCATTGGTGGAAATTATTTTGCATATATTTAAATTAGATGACTATAATAATAATGATATAAGGGATGATAAGAGAATATTTGTTTTGTTGAAAGTAGCCAAAGATCTTTATTAGTTAGTGTTTTAAACCACAGTAAATCAATTTTTTTGTTTTATCCTGTAGGAATTATGTATTTGATTTAGTTACGTGACTGATTAACAGGAAACCCTTTTCAAAAAAACTTTATTTTCTTAAGAACGATACAAATGAACTAACTAAATTCTAATCCTAGATTCGTTTATACAATATTAATATGCCGATATAAGCAATGGCGTAATGCAGGGGGTTTAGTAGAACATAATAACTCCTCCACCCTTAGTTAAAAACATACCCTTGAATGGGTGTGACTCTATAAAATCAAATATTCAAAAAATATAAAGCTGAAAAGCAATTTGTGTTCTATCAGTGTTGAATTTAGTCTTTCTACTGGTCCATTGGATTCATGATGACTAGGAGTAGTGAAATGAATTTTAATATTGTGAGTCTTTAAAAGATCACTAATAACTTCATTTTTAAATCCTGTTCCATTTTCAGAAACAATTCATTTAGGAGTACCTGAAAATGAGAAAAAATTAATCAAACTTTGACATGCTGATATAGCCAAAATATGGAAGGGCCTCTCCAAATTTAGAGAAATTGTCAAGGATTATCAAAAATCTTTGTTTATCGATTAATAATGTATCAATATGGATTATTTCGGAAGGCTTTGAGGATGTCTCTGTTAATATAGGAGGTTGATCTGGAGGTCTTCTATTGTATTTTGCTCTTTGGCATATTTCACAATCATTACTGTATTTCGGTACGTCAGCTTTCAGTGACTTCCAATAATAATTTGTTCAAGGTCGTTTCATTGTGTTTTGAATTCCACGATGATTTGTTTTATGCTTTCATGCGAAAATCGGATCATCATTTTTTGGGTTTTTGGTTTTGTCAGCAAGATTTTCTCTAAGGAACTTTGTTATCGTATCTAGGTTAGTAGGAATTGTGGCACGCACTATCTATCCTATTTCCATGGAAGGTCTCACAATCTCTCTTGATATATGCGTCATAGGGAGATTTTTTTATAATAATTTGTTTCGATTTATTATTTATAATTTCATCAAGGATCGCGATTTCCACTAAATTTTCATCTTCATTTATACTATGGGCAGTATCCGTACTAGATGAATCTTTGTTATTGACGGGCCTTTTTATTGTGCGACCAGATTTGGACTTCTGATGGAGATCCAAAGGAGGCGAAAGGGTCGAACAAAAGTGGCTTCACTATCAGACTGAATCTCAGTTGAGATTCAGCTCAGTTGGGAACTTAGTAGGCTCTGAGTAATTACAATCAGACTTTGCAGGAGAACGACGCACAGTATTAGCACAGGTATTAGCATTTTCACAATCGTGCCTAAAGTCAATGTCACAATCCGGGTTCAGTCTATGATCAATATGAGAGTCTTTCAGATTAAAACGATTTCTCCTCATTACATTTCCATGAGAATCCAAAACCCTGTAAGATCTTGGATCTTCAGCAAAATCCAATATCTTACCTGGCTCCCAATGATTCTTTACAAGGTTAAAAACTGAAACATTTTGATCAGGTTCTAACGGTTTCAATTGAGTTGCAGTCTTATTGAATGAATTCTTATCCCAGCCAGCTTGAGCCGTTCTTTTACATTTTCACAAAATAAGGGCTTCAATAAGTCTGCTGATACTGGCAACTTTGTCTTACACATTCGACTCATGAGTAACTGATAGGGGGAGTAGTTTAAAAACTTAAGAGGTGAATTTCGAAATTGAACAAGGGCTTCAAACATATCCTTGCCCTCTTCCAAAGATTTTTTGAGTAGCTTTTTTGCAATACCAACAGCTTTTTCCGCCAGACCGTTGGATCTGGGGTAGTTCGGGCTTCTAAGCACCATATCGAAATTCCACTCTTTTGAAAATTCTTTAAAAGCGAAACTCCCAAAGGGGACGTTATCACAAACTAGCTTGTCTGGACATCCAAATCTGGAAAAAAATGATTTTAATATTTTTATCACTTCATAAGCTGACTTGTTTTTTAATGTAGCCAACTCCAACCAGTTTGAATATGCATTCATAGCTACAAGATAAGACCTATCGCCATATGAGAAAATATCTGCACCCACTCTTTTCCAAGGACGTTCTGGAATCGAATATGACAAAAGCTCCTGTTTTGAATTCTTCATGGCAAACTTTTTACAAATTTTACATTTCTCAATGTAATTTTCAATGTCCTGTGACATAAGTGGCCAATAAAAGATTTGCCTAGCCCGAGCCTTTACTTTTTCAATCCCTAAATGGCCCTCGTGGAGTCTTGAGAGCATCTCTTCTCTAAGATCTTTCGGAACAACTAGCTTAGTGTTAAAAGATAGTAGTTCATCAGATATCGATAAAGCATACTTGAGTTTATAAAAATGACTTGCCAAAGTTGGGATTAGTGTTTTGCTGGAAGGCCACTGAGTTTTGACAAAATTAATTACACACTGTAATTGAGGGTAATTTTTTGTTAAATTCCTTAACAATTCTTTTTTTTTTTCATTAGAGATGGGCAAATAATTTGAGAGTTCATGAACATTATATTCTAAATTTAATTCAGTAGAGTCCCCAGATTTAGTTAAAAAAGCACGAGGTAGTGTATCTGCGATAAATAAATATTTTCCTGGCTTATATATCACTTTTAGGTCGTAATTAAGTAATTTAAGGATCATTCTTTGCAGCCTTGAAGATACAGACTGTAGGCTTTCTCTTGAAATTGTGGTTTGTGATTAGTACAAACCTTAACATTTTTAATACCATACACAATAATGAAACTTTTGACAGCTGAACAAGATTGCCAAAAGTTCCTTCTCAATCTGAGCATAATTTGCTTCACTTTTTGTTAGACTTCTCAAAGCGACGGCTACTGGGTGGCCATTTTGCAATAAATAAGAGCCAATGCCATTTTTTTGAGGCGTCAGTTTCAATTTCCATTGGCAAGGAAGGGTCAAAGAATGTCAAGACAGGAGCATTCGTCAGTAAATGCTTCAATTGTCTTAATGACTCATCATATTTGCTGGCCCACTTCCAATCCACATCGTGGCGAGTCAACGTTCTGAGGGGCGCAGACACTTTCGACAAATTGGGGATAAACTTACCCAATAATTTAGCCATGTCGAGCAATCTTAAGAGATCAGCTTTATTTTGGGGATTCGGCATTTCCAAAATGGCATTAATATGAGAGTTACTGGCTTTAATACCATCTTTCGAAAAAAAACCAGTCCCAGAAATTTTACTTCTCTTGATTTAAATTGTATTTTGTCCTGGTTAAACTTAATATTATATTTGACGGCTCGTTCAAGAACGCGCTTCAAATTTCTATCATGATCAGCCTCTGTTTTACCCGATATAATCAAATCGTCAAAATAAATCTCTACTCCATCAATGTCACCAAAAAGCTCAAAATTTTTCTTCTGAAAAACTTCTGGGGCAGAACTCAAATCAAAAGGCAGCCGACAAAATGGGTAGCGACCAAATGGTGTGCCAAACGTGCAGTAATCCGAAGATTGATCATCAATCTTGACTTGGACATAACCATCTTTCATATCCAATACTGTAAAAATGACTTTGTTACTAAGTTTGCTAGCAATTTCGTCGGCTGTAGGAATTAAAAAGTGTTCACGCTGTATATTTTCATTTAAGTATTTCGAGTCGAGACACAACCTCAAATCTCCATTTTTCTTTTCCACTATTACTAGAGGATTTAACCATTCTGTAGGCTTCTCAACTTTTCTAATAATGCCCTGATTCTCAAGGTTTTCTAGTTTCAATTTAACTTTATTGTGAAGAGTTTGAGGTAGACGCATACTGCCTGAATATGGGGTCTAGCATTTTCTTTAAGAAAAAGTTTATGCTCAGTTGGGAATTGACCTAATCCCCCAAACACTTTCGGATACAAAAATTCGACATCTTTCAAAGTATTAAAATTAACATTATGAACAGAATCAACTCGTTTAACTACCTCTAACTCCAGGCAACCTAATAGACTCAACAAAGGCATTTGATTTCGACTATTAACTACAACAAACGGTAAATATGTCAACTTGTTATTAATATTACCCAATAGTGAGACTTCTCCGATGGGCTTAATTCTAAAATCATGGCTGCCATATGAAATTAAAGTTATTCGAGATTCTTTAATATCCTTAATACCATGCTTTTTCAAAATATGTTTAGGAATCACACTTACTTCAGCCACTGTGTCCAGTTTAAATTCAATAGCTGTACCTTCCACAACTATTTCCTTGGTCCACACGATATCAGCTTTCGACGTCAGCCCATCAACACTCCTCACCAATGACCCAATATAAAAATCATCAGAGTCACTATTACTCTGGTCATTATCAACATTTTCACTCAATCCTGAAACTTTCACCTCACTCCCTTTTTTCCGTTGACTTCTATTTTCATTCGCTTCTCTCCTAGACTCTTTCTTTTTGCACACATTAGCAAAGTGGTTTCTTCCTTGGCATTCATTACAAAATTCACCATGTGCAGGGCATTTGCCTCTAACATGTTTGTAGCCACAAAAACTGCATTTGAATTTCTCCTCCTGACCATAAGACGCATCACTTCTGTTTGAACCTTTCCTGAGTCTGATGGCACTTACAGAGGCTTTATTCGCTAGAGCCTGAGCTTGGGACTTGCTTGCTTCTACAGCCCTACAGTGATCCACTTCTTTTTGCAAGGTTAGTTTCGGCTCTCTCAGAAGCCTCTCTTGTGTTGATTTATCTGATATTGCTAACACAATTCGGTCTCTCACCATATCATCTGGGTCCTTGTATTCTGTTGACTTAACTGCAATTCTTAATTCCATAACAAAACTCTGACCTTTTTGAACTATCGAGTTGAAAACATATCTCTCAAAAATCAAATTTTTTAACGGGGCACAATGGGCTTCAAATTTGTCTCTTATAGACGTCAATGAGGCTTTTTTAGTCGCAGTCAGTGTGAAGGAATTGTATATGTCCAATCCTTCCTCACCAATTATACATAAAAATACAGCAAAAATATAGCAATATGTTTACCTCGTCCTTTTCGTCCACAGAACATATCACCTCTAGAAAAGTATCTGCAATGTTATGTACCGGTTATGAATTACAGCGCCATCGTTGACTGAAAACCCAACTAATCGAGCATTCTTGACAAAAAGGCGAATTGATTTTTTTCATATATTTTTATTATTTTCAAATAATTTTTAATGTTCAACTGCATTTGGCTTGCTGACTCCTTTTAGCTCTTTTCGCCTCATTTTTTTTAAAACTATGACTGGCAGGAAGTTTCCGATGTCGAACATAGTGCAAAAAGAGTTAGTAAGTTAGCAAGAGACACGCAGCTATAGGTAGATCGCAAAGTAAATACGAATTATAAATACAAATACAAATACGAACGAAACGAAACAAACGAGTAAATACAAAAAAATACGAACAAAAATTAGGGTTTTTTTCAACCAAAACTTTTTGAATTTTCACTTTAACGCGCGTGGGGACCATGGTTCATAGTTCACAACAACACAATTTAAAAATTCAAATTTTGACTTTTAAAATGACAAAATAAATGACAAAACCAACCAACACAAATCACTGTCCACACCACAGATACCTGTAAATTTCTCTTATCTCCCGACAGTGTCGCCATCGTTGAATGAAAACCTAACTAAAAACCTTCGTCGCGATTCTCCCATTTGAGATATTTTTCTATAGGTGATATGTTCTGTGTTTTCGTCCAAACCTGTGGCTGTCATAAATAAATCAAACTTCTGGATAAACCTTTTCCAGTTGTCTGCTACATTGCCATGTAGACTCAGTGGTTCTGGGGGTTTAAATAACGTTTTTATGATTGTCCGGGGTACACAAAATTTCCAGGATTTAATAAATCTTTAATTCAACATACCTGACACCATGACGTATTATTTAAACAATGAATGTGTCTTCAAAACAAGTATTTATCCAAAATTAAAACCGTATTACAAAACGATAACAAAACGACTGCCAAGTGACAGGTGACAGTCCATCGGTGGTGCCCCCAGGCCAACGCCCTGTGTTGCATTCCACCGACGTGACTATTTATGATACAAGTAATTCTTTTTCAATTGTTGAATGTCTTTGTTCAGTTTCGTTCAATGTACGAGAAGCATAAGCTACAGGATGATCATTTGGAGGTGTTTATTCAGATAATACTATATTCAAATGTTTGAAAGAAGATAAAAATGTTAGAGTAAGCTCAATTTCAGAATTCTTTTCCAAACATAGAGTCATAGGTTTTGCGATTTTTGCAAAATCTTTTATGAATCTTCTATAATGTGATTTTGGTATTGGGAAATTTTTTACAGCATGCATTTTGTCGGGATTAGGTTTAACTCCGTCTTTTGTTCCGACGTGTCCAAGGTAGTTAACTTCTTTATATAAAAATTCTGATTTGTCGAGTTGTATTTTACAGTTTGATTTTCTAAAACTCTCAAAAATTAATCTTAGTCATTTAATGTGTTCTTGAAGCGATGTACTATATATTATGACATCATCTAGATAAACAAAACATATTTCATTTTGAAGTCCACGTAATACATTATTCATTACCCTTTGAAACTTAGCGGGTGCATTTTTTAACCCGAATGGCATTTTTTTAAATTCATAGTGTCCTAAATGCCGTTTTGTGAATATCTTCTGGTTCCATTTCAATTTGATGAAAACCATTTGCTAAATCTAGCGTTGTGAAGTACTGAGCTTTCCCTAACTTATCTAATAAGTCAGCAGTGTTAGGTAGTGGGTATTTGTCTTCTATGGTTTTGTCATTTAGTTTTCGATAATCGATTACTATAGGCCATTTCTTTTTACCTGATGGGTCTAATTTTTTAGGTACTATCCAAATTGGACTGGACCACGGTGAATTGGAATGTTGAATTATTCCATTTTTTAGCGTTTGATCTATTTGGGTATTAACCACTTTTTTATGAATTTCTGGATATCTATATTATGTTTTCGTGAAGATTGGCGATTCGTTGGTCAGATTGATCTTATGTTTAAATTGATTTGTGAACGTCAAAGGAGTTCCGTCACAATAAAATATATCTCGATATTCAAAGCAAAGATTTCGATTTGCTGTATATTCTTTACTGCAACATAACTATTCACTTCATATTTTTAATGTTTTTTGTTTTTTAAGTTTTTTGTTTATATTTATTTTTGCATGTTTATTATTTTTTATTCATTATTGTTTTTTTTTTATTTAAAATCATCAGGGTGTTATTTTCAAGGTGGCGGAGAGTTTGGCGACGTGTGCAAAGGTAAATTGAAAATGAACGGTGCCGAGATCGATGTCGCCATCAAAACCCTGAAAGCCGGCTCTTTAGATAAGAGCCGCAACGATTTCCTCACCGAGGCCTCCATCATGGGCCAGTTCGAACATCCCAACGTCATTTTTCTCCAGGGCGTCGTCACCAAATCGAATCCGGTGATGATCATCACCGAATATATGGAAAATGGATCTTTGGATACGTTTTTGAGGGTAAGAATTTTTAAGTTCAAGCCTAGATAAATTTTAGCTGCTGTATAGATTGTAGAATATTTTTAAAAAATCTAGAAAAACTTGCAATTTTTAATACAAAAATTGTTATTTTTTTCTAGGCCAATGATGGTAAATTCAAAGTGATACAATTGGTGGGCATGCTAAGAGGTATAGCGGCCGGTATGCAATACCTAAGCGAAATGAATTATGTGCATAGAGACTTGGCGGCCAGAAACGTTTTAGTTAATTCAGAGTTAGTGTGTAAGATAGCCGATTTCGGTTTAAGTAGGGAAATTGAGAGCGCCACTGAGGGTGCTTATACCACAAGGGTAAGTGCAACTTTACAGCATAGAAATACGTGAATTGAAATGTAAACTTTAGGGTGGTAAGATTCCAGTCAGATGGACAGCTCCAGAAGCTATAGCTTTTCGTAAATTTACTTCAGCCAGTGACGTATGGTCGATGGGCATCGTTTGCTGGGAAGTTATGTCGTACGGCGAACGGCCGTATTGGAATTGGTCAAACCAAGATGTTATAAAAAGTATAGAGAAGGGCTATAGGTATGTAAATATAAATAGTTTAAAAGGTAAAGTTTCAATAAAATATTGCAACTCTAGATTGCCAGCACCGATGGACTGCCCTGAAGCTATTTATCAACTAATGCTAGATTGCTGGCAAAAAGAGAGGACGCATCGGCCCTCGTTCCAGTCCATTGTGAAAACTTTAGATAAGTTAATTCGTGGCCCAGATACTTTAAGAAAAATTGCTCAGAATCGGTAAGTTTGATGTTGATTTCACGTTAGCTGGCTTTGTTGGCTTTATACATGTTTTCTCATATAAATTTAGTTTCATATTGTTCTCTTTCAAAATTTATGCAGTGTTAACAATGCTGGCAAAAATTGTATTTATGTTTATTCATTGTTCATTAATGTACATATATTTCTTTATTTGCAGCATGAGAAACTCTATGCTTTACATGTTGTAAGTTTCATATCATAAATTTAGAGCGGTGTGTGCTTATATGGGCTTTAGAGCTTCTAGTATTTTTTAATTTTTTTCACTGCCTACCTAGATTGCATATTGCAAGCGCACCGTCATATTAACACTTGATTACATGTTCATAAATTTTATATTAATGGTATGATGGATTTATGTGGTGGGCTTGAAGCTTTTAACTAAAAATAACCAACATTCGACAATTTTGATGTAAGGACGTTTCATAATCTTGAAAAGTTTGACAATAAATTCAAATACCATCAAATTTTTATTCGCTTAATTTGCTAGTGATGCTATTCGAGAAATACTTTATTCAAATACAGAATTTATAGTTTCTATTTTCAGCAGATTTTAAGTGGTCAAGTACAATCCATTTGATTCGATCACTTAACGGCCGTTGATTGATTTAATTGATTGATTTGGAAGGGGATTCTTTACAGGCAACACATAAAAGCGCATGTATTGTGCAGCCCACAACTTTTAAGAAAGGTGCAGACCAGTTTAGGTCGGACATGCTTTATTTCATTACGTTCAAAAGCAGCTGGTTACTAAAATGAAAGACTTCCTATCAGTTGATGGGGAATCATCTAGTCAACGCCACATGCTGCGAAAACTTAAGGAATTTTTTTTTTGGGAATATCATAGTTTTCTCAAAAGATGTATTGCCTAATATGGTAACTTTAGGTCAAAGAGTAGCTGATAATATCTTTGATTACCAGAAAAAACATAAACTAAAGAAGATTTCTAGCTCTAAAGGAGCAGAAAAATATCATCTGATTGAAGCAGCAGCAAAACGGATCAAACTATTGTCAGCTACAACGGAGCACTATACCGCGTCATCAGAAATTGCATCTGAACAGGAAAATAAAAAGTTCTTGCCATTTGCTTTGCAACATTTTTTGGATATTATCATTGGTCTTAAAGGCATGTGATTTGAAGAAGATTTCCATTGGGCAGGCTTTGGTGCAAGTTTCAAGACCAAGATCACTTATAAGTCCAATCCTCTTTGGTGTTGATGTGCAGTTTCATCGCGATTTTGGTTCTCGTTGACTTGTAGACGAGTTTCACAGACTTCACAGACAAAGTGTTTACAGTCTGCAATATTAGACAAGACACCAAATTTTCAAATTACACCAGGTCATTTCTGTCGGTGGATAGCAGATAATGTGGACCACAACATTGCCACCATCGATGGTCACAATACTTTCCATGGAATGGGAATTATGATGAAAATCTTGACCACTTGGTGCAAAATCTAATCCATTGTCAGAGAGAAAGGTCCCTGGTTGCAAAATCCGACTTAATGGTGCTAATATTTCTGCAGAAGCAAAAATAGAAATTAGATTCAGTCTCTTAAATCAAGCATGAACAAAATTATATTTGATGAACTGACTGTTACCGCCGCCACCTGGTTGCGACGGTTGGGTAAGGGAGACTTTGTTTTAGCACTGGTAAAAGCCTTTTTCTACTGACGTTTCATAATAGCAACTTTTCGATTGTCATTTCAGTTTTGAAACGACATTCTTTTAGGCACTGAGTGCGTGAAAGTTACTTTTAGGCACTCAGTGCGTAAAAGTGACTTTTGAATGCGTAAAAGTGACTTATGAGTGCGTAAAAGTAATTTTTAAGCACTAGTGCCTAAAAGTGTCATTCATTATTCAGAAATAAAAAACACACTGAACACATATTTGAATTTTGTTTTGTATTTATTATGAATATTGAAAATGGAATTACTGAATTGAACGTTTGGGTTACTCAAAACAGAACTTTGTGTTATTACCTACTTTCTAGGATTTTAATTATTGATGTCGAATTTTGAAAAGAAAATCGCATGAAAAGTGTCAGGTGTCAAGTAAAAGCAGGTAACAAAGATTTTGGGTGTAATCGACTTATTCACATGAAATAAAATTGTGTTTTTTTATTATAAAATGCCAGTAGAAAAAATCTTGTATACAATACGTTACGAAACGATGTCTTTTAGTCACTCGACGTGTTGTCCAACTCGGCTTTGCCTCGTTGGACAATTTTCACGTCGCGTGCCTAAAAGACGCTCATTTCGTAACTTATTGTATAAATAGCTATTTTATACTGCGGTAGCGTGCCACCAGGGACTTTGTTTAAAGTCCCACTGAAAATCTAGGTAGCTTTGAAAGGATACTTTTTAGTAATCTGATTAGATCGCCTCTTCCAGTGCGGGTTCTTGCTACCTGAGCTGTACGCACTTAATTGGGATGCTAGCTCGGGGTTCTCCAAAGGAAATAAAAGAATCAATTTTTCTTAGGTTATTTACAATGTTTACTGAAATAAAATGAAAGAAAATACATACGGAGATTTGGAATGATAGAGAGTGAAATCAATGAGCGTCCTGTAGAGGGCGTTCCTGGAATCTTGGATGGTAAAAGTTACATGAAAAAATAAAGATTAAAAGATACAGAAAATAAGGACAAGGCTATAATTCTTAGTGGGTAAACAGTCACGGGCGTCCTTGACAAGGGAATGACAAAACGGCCTTGTTATTCAGGGTAAGGTACATGTAGAAAACGAGATTTGAGTTGTGAAGCTAACCCAACGGTTTTGTTCTTCACACAGGGGAGTAAATAAATAATAGACAGAAAACAACAATCATGGCGAATAAATTAAAATACTTGAAATCGAAACATTACCTAAGGTCTCGGAAAGAGAGTCAGCAGAAAGACTTCAACACTAAACACCAGGACTTCGTTACAGAACCAAATGACTCTAGGAGACTCACAGACTTATTTATATTGGCAGCTTGATGACGCTTATGGGATTCTTATCGGTCGCAAAACATGCGGTTTGTTCGTGGAACCAGGAATCGAGAGTCGTATTTTAAGACACAATCATGACACTATTTCGGGAACCCACTGATAACCCTTGGCTCTTGACATGGTTTCGTCAGAAATTTAGCGACTTATTCTCGCTGGGTAAAAAACCAATTAATTGTATCACGAAGCGAAAAAAAAAAAAAAAAGATTTTTAGGCCGTTTTGGTACATGACTTTAAACCCATTGAACATAATCCAGTAGATCTTTTGTGGAATACCAATAAGTTGTTGAATACGCCGCGTCCTGGATGGAATGGATCCATGCAAAAAGTCGTAATCAGTGATGAGGGGTAGTATCTACAACATTTTTACCTATGATTCATATGGATCCAGCAACTCACAGCTGTGTTTATATCACTTTGAAATTCACATGTTCGGAAGCAAAAAAAACTCAACACATACACCTACCAGTTGTAACATTTGATTAGTGCCTGTTGATTGAGGCTATGCAAGTTTTTTGCAGTAAATCCAAAGAATTCCCAAACATTTTAATTCGTCTTGGTGGCTTCCATATACTGATGTCATATTGATGTACAATTGGTGAACAGTTATGTGGACCTGGAATCGAAGAGATTTTGAAGACCATTTACGCAGAAAATACAGTCTCGCATATGCTTAAAGGTAAAGCTTATTCAAGAGCTGTCAGAGGACACATACTGCTTTCATCTGTACTCAACATCAGTGTTGCTTCAGGATATCCTGGACAGTAACTTACAACTTCCGGCAGAGCTCTCAAGTGAGGGACAGGTCGAAACAGGTGATGAATTCGAAAACGGGCCCCACGTTGAGCGCCAAAATTTGCCACGCTCATCAGTTAAATCTCCCTCTTTAAGTTTTTTTTTTTTCTTTTTTCCAAAGTCACCTAAAAAGGATGAACTCAGAATCAAAATTTGCATAAAAGGTTCCTTGATCAATCCCATAAATACAATACATCAACATATTAAAATTTGGAATTAATGAAGTATAATATAATGGAACTAATGCATTCATTAATAATTATTTCAACAAAATTCCCCTCAATCCTTGATAATACTATTCGGAATTAATGAAATTGTGAAATACTTACACACAATTCAGTGTGGCCAAACGCAGTTTTGGACAACGTGGAGCACTCTGGGTGGAGAACAAAAAGGCGAAAACCCTCAAATCCAGCTGGTTTAACAGCCGCAGCAAATCGGCACCAAAATCGCAATAGAACAAAAACGCACCACCGACTCGCTGTTGAACCACCACGGTCAATTTATCCCTTTCAATAAGGCTTTCACAAAATATTTGCAAATGTTGTAACTATGATAGCGTGGTCTTTGGCTTTCTGTCTCCGAATTTTCGAGAGTGATGACCACTTCCTGATCTGGTCGGTTCCCCTCCAGAGGAGAGAGAATAGGGGAAAATTTCACCCCTGGGTGCGTACAGCAGGAAAACCCAACTTTTCCGCGATGTCACCCACAAAATACTCAACTATACTGAATACCTGAAAACAAATCATCCGAAAGAAATCTCATAGCCTCATAAAGTATTTATTTATAAATTCAAAAATATTTAAAAAGAAATACGAAAATTCGACAGTACGGAACAGGAAACCATTTCACGGTGGTACTCTCAAAATAGTCGATGGCTGGATCATGCGTAGCGGAATCTACCAGACCCATCATGCCGAAATATTCTTATCTATAAGGTCCTATAATACAAAAATTGTTGCTCGATTGTTACAAATTAATAAAGTATCAATCAAATTCGCGCAGTACAGAACCGGCTCAACCGTTTAAGGCTATAGATTATTATCGAAATTCTTAAAACTTAGAAAAATTAACAAGGACAATTTTAACACGTTACAATACATTTAAGTTTACAGAGTCTTATGGAACTTTACGATAAGTTATATAATAGCGAGATTACAGTCTCTGGCATAGGTTCTTCTACCAAACTACTAAAGTT